CCTCCCCCTCCCCCTTCCCCTCCCCCTCTCTTTCTGTCTCTCTTTCACACCTCGTGGATGGGAAACTTACGATCCATAAAAGACAAGATTTTCTCTCGTTTGGGTGCACAGAGAATCCAACGTTCGATAGTTCTGTGGTGATAAGAGAACGCTCGATCCTTTTCTATAACGCTCGCACCACGTATACTACTCCGGCGTAATAGTTCTTTGTTAAGAAGCAGTGTTAAGATCGTGTCGAGACTCGGCGGTATTCCGTGTACCTTCCCGCATTGCGATGCAGCTCGTCGCGTTGCTTTTCAAGTAGTCCTTCTTCTGTCCCTTCGTGTACAACCATATTTATCTAACGCGTAATTACGCGTCCGAGTTCCGCGGAAAAGTCGCAAACGGGGGAGGAAGGAAGTCGCGAGAGATGTAACGGAGAAGTTAAAACGTTGAGACTAAGTTAAAACCGGAGCGGACGGCGGGGTGTTTAAAGTTTCTGAGTAAAGTTCAGCTTGTCACATCTTGCAATGATTAGATCAGGGCTCGGTCTCTCTTTTCCGAGTCCTTAACTAAGAAGGAACTTTCATTCTGTCATCGCGTGGATGCCGATGATGAGCGAACGTGAGTCGCGAGTACAATTTTATTTGGGAAAGTCTGGAAGCATTGTACTATTTATTACCAATGTCTTTTCTGATGTTAAATGGTAACTGCAGCAATGAGATTTATGGACTCATAAAGTTCAATGTATCTGTATAAACTATCGATTCTTGTAATATTATTTTATAGCACAAAACTTTATCGAGAACGTTGAAAATATATAAAACCGTGCAAGACATGAGAAATGTCATTCATTTGCTACAATAACTACACCATTCAGAAAACAAAGACTTCCAAAAAATAAATTTAAATGTTTTTTGAATGACTACAATTTTGGCATATTAATCTTAAAATGCAGTTTTAGTTGTAGAGGAATAAAATTATATTTTTTTCTTTATATTTTCATTTTTTTCTGTAATCGACTAAAAAATGACGCTTTTTGGGTTACATGTACGAGTGATATTATTCATATTATTATTATTGTATAAAGTAATATCAAGTATTATCTAGATTGATATAGCAAGCTTCACAATTAGCACGTATGTCGACGACAAAGTAGCAATCGCGTAATTGCACGCGAACGGCGTTCGCCAACAATTTCGAATGTTCTTCCGCGTTTTCAAAGCAAGTTCAGCACTTTGTACTCGCATCACGCGATCGTTTAAAGCAATCGGCCGTATGCCACGAACAGTTCCGTATTTCCGAATCAACCGAGAGCCCGCGCATTGCTATCCACAATATCCCACGCTGGTCGCGCGAATTTCGCGGACACGGGTTCGTCTATAGCGTATTTCAATGAAACTCGATTATCGCACGATCTTATCATCGTGCCCGAGGCCAGGTGCGAGATCGTGCACCGCAGTAGAGCGTAACTACGTACATAGGTACGTCCAATTTCCGCCGAGGAATTACCTCTCCTCCACCAGGTTCTAAGACACGGTCGGGTCGGTCGTAACCGCGGCTTAACTTGCTATCGTCACACCACGCTTCTCCCACGATGAAACTACAACCTTCCTTCTCATTTCTCTTTTACTATTACACTTTTTTAACGAGTGTACAATCTCTTGATGTATGGGAATTTTTCTTGTAATTATCGGATTTCTCCGTGTAAAGTATCCTCATCTTATTTGCCTGATTTTTATTCCCTTTTTTTATTTCCCTTAATGACCGTTGCGGTTTCACCAAATTGCAACGAATGGTTGTGTTTGAGTTTTATATATATAATTATATATACTTCTCTTTTATTGTCGTATTAGCGTTTTTGTCTCGATAAAGTGTCCTTTGGAACTTAAATTTTGTTTTGTTACAAGCTGCATGTAACACTTACTCTTATTTCGTTTTATTTCATTCTTTGAAATATTATAGCTGATTGCTTCGATTCATCGAAAAAATTGTCTTTATCTTTTATATTATGAGAGATAAATAATCAATTTAATAATGAAATCTATATTGAATTTACGACATTTCTTCGACATAGCACGTTTCTGCACATGTCTTCATCTACCCTCATCTTCGCGCAATTTTAACGGAACCTTATTGCGCACACCGTCTTCTCGCTAAACCTTCGAAAGGGGGGGGGGGGGG